GAAGACTTCCAGGTTGTGTTCATCTTTGATGGTCTGGATGAGTGTCGACTTCCTCTGGACTTCCACAAAACTACAATCCTAACTGACCCTAGAAAGTCCACCTCGGTGGATGTGCTGCTGATAAACATCATCAAAGGGAACCTACTTCCCTCTGCTCGCCTCTGGATAACCACACGACCTGCAGCAGCCAATCAGATCCCTTTTGCATATATTGACATGGTAACAGAGGTCAGAGGGTTCACTGACTCACAGATGGAGGAGTACTTCCGGAAGAGATTCAGCAATGAGATGAACGCCAACACGAACATCTCCCACATCAAGACATTTCAAAGCCTCTACATCATGTGTCACATCCCAGTCTTCTGCTGGATCACTGCTACAGTTCTGGAGGATGTGCTGAAAACCAAAGAGGGTGCAAAGTTTACCCTGACCTTGACTGACATGTACATCCACTTCCTGGCGGTTCAGGACAAAGTGAAGAAGGTCAAGTATGATGGAGGCGCTGAGACAGATCCACACTGGAGTCCAAAGAGCAGGAAGATGATTGAGTCTCTGGGAAAACTGGCTTTTGATCAGCTGCAGAAAGGAAACCTGATCTTCTATGAATCAGACCTGACAGAGTGTGGCATCGATATCAGAGAAGCCTCAGTGTACTCAGGAATGTTCACACAGATCTTTAAAGAGGAGAGAGGATTGTATCAGGACAAGGTGTTCTGCTTCATCCATCTGAGTGTTCAGGAGTTTCTGGCTGCTCTTCATGTCCATTTGACCTTCATCAACTCTGGACTCAATCTGCTGGAAGAGGAACAACAAACAACATCCAAGAAGTTCACAAGAAGTAAATCTTTCGAAATGCAATTTTTTTTCCAGAGTGCTGTGAACAAGGCCTTACAGAGCCCAAATGGACACCTGGACTTGTTCCTCCGCTTCCTCCTGGGTCTTTCTCTGCAGACCAATCAGACTCTCCTACAAGGCCTGCTGATACAGGCAGGAAGTAGCTCACAGAGCAATCAGGAAACCATCCAGTACATCAAGAAGAAGCTCAGTGAGAATCTGTCTGCAGAGAAAAGCATCAATCTGTTCTACTGTCTGAATGAACTGAAAGATTGTTCTCTAGTAGAGGAGATCCAACAGCGCATGAGATCAGGAAGACTCTGCACAGATGAACTGTCTCCTGCTCAGTGGTCAGCTCTGGTCTTCATCTTGCTGTCATCAGAAAAAGATCTGGATGTGTTTGACCTGAAGAAATACTCTGCTTCAGAGGAGGCTCTTCTGAGGCTTCTGCCAGTGGTCCAAGCCTCCAACAAAGCTCTGTAATTAAATGCGTACTTATACCTTTCTATCTATATAAATAACTATTTACGATCTGGCAATCGAACTTGGAGAGATCCATCGATTAATTGAGTCAATGATTTTATTCAGCCATAGGGCCATATCTTCACACATTAATCCAGTTTGATTTGTCAGGTGATATGCATAACCAGTATGCATAATTTGGTATGATTTTATCTTGGTCATTGTCAACCTCCCTTGGGTGCAATTTGGATTTCAGCCTTGGAAATTCTAGGCTCTACTCATGACAGGCGTTCCTGTATACTATGCTGGCCACTTGGTTATGGCTTCCCATGTATGGTAAAATCCTCCATGCATGTTACGAAGCTTTCTTGTCTTGATTCCAGTGACTTACTCTCTGCAGGTATTTGGTGATTGCAGCTTTCCTAGTGACCTCTCACTTCCCCCGCCCCTGAGAGTACACCCTAGATGGTTAAGTGGAGAATATTTGATAAAATTTGATTTATTCTCCTGGCTTCAATATCTCTGGTATACTTCTTCAAGCGGTTAACCAAAGCTTTTGGTCTTTGCTTGGCATTTTCTGGTCTGAGATATAGACAACTTGTTGTGCTTATTAGATGCTTCCTTTTCTTTGTCACACTTTTCTACAGTTCTAATAGTTGGCTAACTTTCCTCCATTCATCTTGGCCTGTAGTCTCCTTGACATGGAGGGTACTGCTTCTTGTGTCAGGAGCAGTGTTGGTCAAGTTACTTGAAAAAAGTAATCAGTAACTAATTACTGATTACTTCTGGAAAAAAGTAATCCAGTTAAAAACATGATTTACAACCTGAATAGGCAATAAAGCGATAGATCTTTCAACCCAATTCTACTTTTTCTGCATAATCCATCATATAAAATATAATCAAATGAAAAAGTCTCTTTTTAAAACTTGCTTTATTAGTTTTAATCTTTTAACTTTATGCATCAAGCAAAAATTAAATTATATGCAAAATTCTCTGACTGGAAGAAATTTCAGTGATGCACACTGTCTTGCTGGTATATGTATGATTTCTATACATTTTACGTCAGATAAAAACTTTGGTTGTAACGAGACATTTTCAATGAGAATAAGAAAGAAAAGTATTTCTTTGTGCCCCCCCTCTCCCTGTTAATGCCCTACCTGGCCCCCTGGCAAAACTTTGCTAGACCCGCCCCTGCACAGTTACCAGCTGTCAGCTA